TCGTAGGCAACCAGCCTTAAGCTTCCGCAGGAGCCTGAGAAGATTAGCTCGAGGCTCGGCCGAGCCGCGGCATCACCTCCTCCCCATCCTGGCCCTGAGCCTCGCACAGAGGGCAGGCCTGTCCCGCTCGCGGGCTTGGGCCTGCACCGTCGCCAGCTTGACCTGCAGCACCCCCAGGTAGATCTCCCTGTACCTGAGCTGCTTGGAGGTGCCCTGCAGCCACAGCCACCACGTGGCAATCCTGTCGGCTGCAACAAAACCTCGCCCGTAGTCGGCTCGCCCCAGACTCCAGCGCCACAACAGACGCAATACCAGCCGGGGATGCGCGCCTCGTAACCGCTACACCTCCCGACCTCGGCCGCGACCGCGCCGTCGCCGCAGTCCTCGGACCGCGCCTCGACGTACTTGTCATCCTCAGACTCCTCTTGGACGACCTCGGACTCCTGCTCCAGGAGCGCGAGGCCCGCGTCCTCCTGCTTCGCGAGGGCGTTGCGACAGCCGCCGTCCAGGGCCACGCCACCGACCACGGCCCCGTCAACGTCGTCGCCGCTGTCCTCGGACCTCGCCTCGACGAACGCGTCCTCCGACTCCACCAGGACCTCCGACTCCTCCTGGGCGTCCTGCACCCCGAGCGCCCCCGCAGCTGCCTCGGACAGCACTTCGCCCTGATCGTAGTCGTCCGCGTCCTGCAGCGTCGCTTCGGGCACCTCGGACACCTGCACCCGCCGCCTCGCGGCGGCGGCCCTCCGTGCGGCCTCCGCGCGTGCGGCGGGGTGCCGCCGCGCGCTGTGCCAGCGCATGCCGTTCTGCCTCGGCCTCCGCCCACGAGACGGCCCAGCGCGTGGCACGGCCCTCGCGGGCACCCGGGCGCCGCCCAGCAGGGGCGTTCCGCCCGCTCCGACGGCCAGCACCCGCCCCAAACTCCATGCCTGTGAGCAGGCCCCGCACGGGGGGAGTACCCTGCTCAGCCACCGCCAGCGCCTCATCGCCGCCGTCGTCGTCGCCGAGCACCTCGAAGCGGACGGCCGTGCAAAGCGGCGCTCCGCCGCGGCCGCCGCTGCACGACTGCGGCCTGACGGGGCGCCTAGCCGCCAGCCAGCCGTCGTCCGCGTCGGGCTCCCCGCTTTCGGCCAGGTCTGCGCCCTTGCCGCTCAGCTCCTCGTCCTTCGCCTCCAGGACGCCCAGGGCCTCGAGCAGGCGCTACCCGTCGTCCCTGGGCCTCGGTGTCGCGCCTCGGCGCCTGGCCACACGGCGGCTGCCCCAGCGCCGCCAGGATCCCCCGCCCTGCAGCGCAGCGCACCTCGCCAGCGACGCCCACGGTCGACCCCGCGGTGGGCCCCACTCCCGGAGCCGCCTCCCAGGCGTGCACGATGACCCCGGCCATGGCCAGCAGGCCCGGCCGCATGCGCACCAGTGCCCGCCGTCGAGCAGCGGGCGGCGCCACTCAGCCAGTCAGGCTTGAGTCCACATGGCTTGATCCAAAATGGCCAAGGGTTCTGTGGTGCAAGCTATGTTGTGCAAGCTATGTGGCTGTGTGGTTACAGTGAAAGTTATGTGGCGCCCACGAGACACCCACGCGGTCACGAGCAGCCACCGGTCGAACACCCAGAACTGCCGGCCATCGCACGGCTCGGCTTCCTCAGCCACCTGAAGGAGCATCGCAACCTGAGCAAACACGCCACCAACGGCTCAGGTTCGGAGTCTCACCGACGACGTCGCTGCGGATGAGCTCAATCATTCTGGGCCTTCTTCTGAGGTGCGTATGTATGTGTATTGATCATGGATCGGCGGTTTCATATTTGCTCTGGTGGCTTCGCCTGAACCCGAGCGTCACTCTGAGATTGTGTTCGGCCAGGCCTCCCTCTGATTGGTGGCGTGGCTGGTGGTTCCATCCTTGTTTCGGCCGTGCTCGGTTTGGCGCCGTCCTCGTACTAGACAGCACGGGTGGTTCCATCCTTGTCCAGGTGGCTTTCGCCTATGCCCCAGCCTCCTTCCCTTCTGATGGGTACTACGGTGGGTGGTTCAAACCTCCTGCTGATGGCTCTCGCCAGAGTCTCCTGGCTTCAATTTGAAGTTGGCCACAGTAGGTGACTCCACCATCCTCTTCTCGGTGGCTCTCGTTTCAGCACCAGTCTCATACTGAGAGGTACCACGATGATTTGTTCCTCTTCCTGGTGGCCCTCGTGCCATCCCTAGTCTCACTGCAAGGGTTACCTCGGTGGTTGGCTCCTCCATTGTCCTGAAAGGATTACCGCGGTGGGTGGCTCTTGCCCGAGTCCCAGTTTCGTTCTGAAGGGTATCGTGTTGGGTAAGTCCATCCTTGTCCCGATGGCTCTCGTTTCAGCACCGTCTTCATTCTGGTTTGCACCTGTGGGTTGTTTCGTCATCCCAATACTGGATCTCGCCTGAGCTTTGACAGACTGTCTAGCTCGGAACGAATGACGCTCTCGCCTCATCACTAAGCCCTCTCTCTGACGGGCAGCACAGTGAGTTGTTCCGACCGGCTTCAGTGTTTCTAGCCGTAGGTTCGGCCGCATTCCCAGCTCGGAATTGTGCTCACGCCTCAGTGCCAGCCTTACGCGGAGGGGTAGGGTAGCACTAAGTGGTTCACATCCATCCGTTAGCGGTTCTCGCCGCTGCCCAGCAACATTCCCATCTCGAAATGATGTTGCCGCTTCAGCGCTGGCCACACTCCTGGCGGGCACTCTCGCTTCAGCGCCAGCCTCATCGAGGGGCAGCACAGTGGGTGGTTCCATTCGTCCTTTGTTGTCATTTCTGTAGTCCTGGCCACATCCCCAGCTCGGAATCTTGCTCTCACCTCGGGGCTGGCCACGGTCGCGGCTCGAAATGGTGCTTCCGCCCAATCGCTGGCTACGTTTCCATGCCATATACAGGAACCGAGGCAAACGTATACCTAAACAGACACAAAGAGGGAGGTTGAGACACGCAGACTTGCGGACAGAGACAGACTTGTTGGTGCAGTCAGCTTATGCACATCAATCTCTCAAGCACCCTCATATTTAGACCTTTGCGCTACACGCATTTTCTAGAAGGACCCCCACCAAACTAAATTAGCCTGACGAAGGACCCAACCATGTGCAGCTGCGAGTACTGCGACGAGGATTAGACGAAGGAGGGGGGCGCGCAAACTCTGCCGGGTGCCTCCCCGACCCCTGGACGACGACGACTCGGAGGCGGCAGGGGGCTTCATTTGGATGAGCCACAAGACAACGACAACGAGTACACTATGCCGCCGCCGACGACGACGACGACAATGGCCGAACTCCGACGGCCTCCGACGGAGGAGCACGCAGGTCTCCAGACGCACCCCGAAGCCCACCGAGGCCCCTGGTAGGCCTCGAACGTCCTCGACAGCTTTCAGGCAAGAGCTCAAATAGCTCGGGCCTCCGGCGATCATTCGGGACGACGCTTTGAGTGCACTTGGAATGCTCTCGGCGAGCCGCAGCTGCTGGAGGACACCCCAAAACACAACACCTCCAAGAAGTGGAATCGGCAACTGGCGCCTTCGGTGGAGCTCCCTATGGGGCTCCGAAACGTGTCAGAGAATCAGCAACTGGAGCCTTCGGTGGAGCTCCCCATGGGGCCACGAAGCGTCTGAGGTGTTTGCCAAAGTTTGCGTGGGACACATGTGAACGCAGCCACTGGGGCTTTCGGTGGGGCTCCCTATGGGGCCACGAACCGTGTGAGGGGTGTGCCGAAACTGGTGCGGGACGCATGTGAACGCAGCCACTGGGGCCTTCGGTGGAGCTCCTGAGGGGTGTGCCGAAATGGGCGCGGGACGCATGTGAACGCAGCCGCTAGGGCCTTCGGTGGAGCTCCTTACGGGGCCACGAAGCGTGTGAGGGGTGTGCCGAAACTGGCGCGGGACGCATGTGAAGGCAGCCACTGGGGCCTTCGGTGGAGCTCCCAATGGGGTCACGAGACGAGTGAGGGGTGTGCCGAAATGGACGCGGGACGCATGTGAACGCAGCCACTGGGGCTTTCGGTGGAGCTCCCTATGTGGCCACGAACCGTGCGAGGTACGGTACGGTACTCCCGATCGGCACAGAGGCCGTGTCCTGCTACAGGCTACGGGAAAACAATTCGCGATAGAGTGGCAGGGGCAGGCTCACAGTCCTTCGACTGCGCCTGGAAAAGGCGGTGCTGTTGCCACTGAGAGAACACGCGAGTGCCGTCAAGCACACAATTTCTTGTCTTGCTTTCCGAAGGAGGGAAAAGGAGGGGCAGGGGAGGGGAGAGGAGAGGAAGGGGAAGAACACAATCAATGCTGGTATTGCTGCCTTCATCAGTCACTCCAACGTTGCCGAGGCCTTCCTCTCGCCCTGTAAGGATGATGCCCTTGGTGCGCCTCGCCCGACATAGCTGGCTCCCATTTGTGAGCTGCGCGAGGTAATTGTGGAGCGCTCCCAGAGGCCAAACTGACGAGGATGTTGTCCCGACGTCGATTGCGCATCTCGCTCTAAGCGGTAATGGGGTACTTGAGCAAAGCAGCATTGAGCCGGCCCTTGATGCGGCTTCCGGTCGTCTCCCATGACTCGTCGCCTATGCGCACCCAGCCGACCATGCTTCGCATCATCTTTCTTTGTAGGGCGTCAAGTTTGTCCAGGTGGCTTGACGTCAGCGGCGTCGTCGGTAAGCTGTACAGAACCGTAGGATATATAACGGCATCGAACAGTTTGAGCCGCAAGCGAATTGGAACCTTCTTGTTCTCCAGCGTGGACTGCAAGAAATATGGTACTTCAGCCACGCACATGAAATCCTGTGAGCCAAATTGGCGGGGCCTCTCTGCTTCAAGTCCGAAATTGGTGCGGGACGCATGTGAACGCAGCCACTGGGTGGGGCCTTCGGTGGAGCTCCCTACGGGGCCGCGAAACGTCTGAGGGGTGTGCCGAAGTGGGCGCGGGACGCATGTGAACGCAGCCACTGGGGCCTTCGGTGGAGTTCCCTACGGGGCCACGAACCGTGCGAGGGGTGTGCCGAAGTGGGTGCGGGACGCATGTGAACGCAGCCACTGGGGCTTTCCCTGGACCTCCCTATGGGGCCACGAACCGTGTGAGGGGTGTGCCGAGCATCTGTCGTTTCGTGAGACTCAAGGGCCTCTGTCCGGCCATGGCGAGAACTGCAGAATTGGACACTCGGCTAACATAAAGCGACGACACGCGGCAGATTTTCCGGAGGCAACGGGCGTGAAATCCGTCTCACCATTTGCGTATGCATTTGCTCAGACAGCCAGCAAAAAGACTGCATAACAATTTCGACACAAAGCACGTGTTGAAGATTCTCAGCTTGCGCGCCCGGCTAAGTGTGGAATGCGCCCATACAGAATTCAGATCTTTACAATCTTGCCCTGCTGCCACTATCCAGCAGCTCAGTTCAGATACAATTCTGCCGTCTGCAGAAAGACGGGTGCCCAAACATGCGATTGAGCTCTTGCACGCGACGGGGACGCCAGAAGCATTCATTATAACAACGTCAGATCTTACCCTCAATAGTTCCCTTTTTTGCCAGTTCAATTTGAGCCCGTAATGCGTCCCGCGTGTTTCGATGGCATTCATGAGCGCCTGCACGACGCGAGGATCGCTATCGATCAGCAGGGTGTCGTCTGCGTTGACGAGCTCTCTCACGAAGTTCTCCTCCGGCAGCTCCCCCAAGTCCGTCTGCAGCATTTTGCGCGCGTCCGTGAGGAGGGTGGAGAGCGGGCAGCCTTGGCATATACCGTACGCTTGGGCATGCTCCGCAGACGTCTCGTCAAAGTCGTTCACGATGAAAGTGCGGTCCTGGTATATGGAAGCCACCACGCGCACGAAGTGGTCAGGGCACCCAAATCTTCTCAGAGAGGCCGCCAGCGCCGTCGGCGAGACCGAGTCGAACGCTTTGGCCCAGTTCAGTGCGAGCAGCAGCGTCCCGCCGTCTTTGGTCGCCCACGCATCTTCTATCACTCGTCTTGCCAGGAAGATGGCGTCCGCCGTCCCCCTGCTGGAACGGCAACATCGCTGCAGATACTTTGTAGCCGGTGGGGGGTAGACTGATAGGTCTGTAATTATCGCACGACGCTGGATCTCCTTTCTTGTAGATCATGCGAACTCTCGCTCTGCTCCATGCCTCTGGCACCCGCGTCTGCGTCCAAACCCTGTTATAGAAAGAGGTGATCCAGGATAGCGCGGTCTCGCCGTCGCCAGCAGCTGCCTTCCAGAATTCCGATGGGATCTTGTCCCTCCCGGCTGCTTTGCCGCGGCGCAGCTGTCTGGTCGCCTTGCGTACTTCGTCCTCGGTGATTGGCCCAAGTAGCACTGGCGCTTCTGCTGCTGCTGCTGATGATGATGATGATGATGATGATGCTGATGATGATGATGATGATGATGATGATGATGATGATGATGATGATGATGATGATGAGGAGGAGGAGGAGGAGGAGAAGGACTTGCGGAGGGCAGAGACAGGTGTGGGAGGAGGGGGAGCGCAGAGGTATGGTGGGAGGAGGGAGGATGGCGAGGAGGGAATGAAAGAAGGAGTGAAGGAACGCGGGGCGCTGTCTCTTCAAAACGAGGACCCAACACCACAGGATGGTTGGTGAAAACATGAGACTCTCCAGATATCCAGGCCGCATTTACCTCTGCCCCTGCAGAGCGTCTCTCCTTGTCCTTCTGGACCTCCTGGACGTTCCTGCCAAGCCTTGCAAGCAGGCCAGTGGCTCAGATGCTTCCCAGGGGCCTCCAACAGATCACCAGGGGCCAGAGGGACCGTCCACGAGGCTTGTAGGAACGCTGCAGAGCCTCCACAAGGAGGCCCCAGGCATCCCAAATGCGCCTCCAGCCAGCACCGTTGGCTAAAACATTTTGGATGCCTCATTCCTCACCCTAGAATGTCACGTGCGCATGTGCTCAAGCAAACCATGTAAATTCACTGAGTTCCCCAGCACGGGCGGCACGGGGAGGAGGGAGGAGGAGGATTTGGACAAGGCAGAGCAGGACGAGGAGAAGGAGGGAACATGTATGATGCGTGTTTAAAGGAAGGACGGAGGACCGATGAGTAATGAGGAAGGGATGCTGATGATGATGAGGATGAGATGAGGCAGACTCGAGTTGGAAGGGAACAAGAGTAATCCACCGAGCGAAAAGAGGTACCGACAACGATCTAGGAGATCACGGATGGGGGTAGCTCGATCGGTGTCGGTGCCCATTGTTTCGCTAAACCGTTTGTCTGTAAGGGTCCTCATCGATGTGGCTCCTGAGGCCGGTGGGCGGACTGTGCGATCCAGAATCGGTAACTCGTGGTCTCTGGGTCTCTGGTCTCCCGTACGGTCTCCCGTGTGCCCTCCCGCAGTATCGTATAGCATGTACGTGTATATACAGTTGAGGTACCGGTACATGTAGGTGCATTCAGTTCTCCGGAGGTATTTCTATAGTGTTCTCTTGAGTGTCCCAAAAGTCTTCTGCAGCCAAGAGTGTGATTCTTTGACGAGGAAGTGGGAACCAGGCGCCTGCACTGATTGAGCTCTGCCCTCCGTGCTCTCCTTGATCGGTATCGGCGCCCGCTTTCTCTCAGCGCAAGCGGGTTGCTCGCCTGGCAGGGATCCCGAGCTGCGCGTGCAGATCGTCGAGGGCTGCCAGAAGTTCGCCTCCGACCCGAAGGGCTTTCGATTGGATGGGTTGTGGGGCGAGGAGGAAGCCGTGTGGCGAATGCAGACTGTTGGATGGCAACGTGTTTGAATCCCTCCTCCCTCCGCCTGGTCCGTCCTCTCCTCATTCTGCACCCTCCTCCGCTCCCTGCCCTCTCTGCTTCCCTCTCTGCTTCCCCCTCTGCGTTCCCCTCTGCTTCCCTTTCAGAATCCCTCTCTGCTTCCCTCCTCTCCCTCCTCCCTCCCTCCCTCCCCCCGACTTCTGTTGTTGTTGATGATGGTGGTGATGATTCTGATGATGATGCTGATGCTGATGCTTCTGATGATGCTGCTGATGATGATGATGGCGTTGGTGATGGTGATGGTGATGGTGATGGTAATGGTGATGGTGATGATGATGATGATGATGATGATGATGATGATGATGATGATGCTGATGATGGTGATGGTGATGGTGATGGTGATGGTGATGGTGATGGTGATGGTGATGGTGATGGTGCTGATGCTGGATGCTGATGCTGATGCTGGTGCTGATGCTGATGCTGATGCTGATGCTGATGATGGATGATGATGATGATGATGATGATGATGATGATGATGATGATGATGATGATGATGATGATGATCATCATGGCGGAGCAAATGCTGAGCTTGTCTCGAGCGAGGTGCGGCATACAGCACCCCCAAGGGGGAGCCGCCAGGGGGTATTGCACTCCTCCTTCTGGCAACATGGCGGGGATGTCTCGAGTTGTTTGCTTGTTTGTGGCCTCAACATCCTCCGCGTTCGGAGCAGATTTGGAGGATGTCTCCAGCGAGTCACCCATTTTCGCCCCCAAGCGGGGCCAGGATGTCTCAATCGGTTTGATTGTTTTGGTGGCCAGACTCGTGAGCACGGATTCTCCCCAGGATGCCACAGGAGGCTCCAGCGGGCTCCAGGAGGCCCCAGGAGGCAACCGGAGGTCCCAGGAGGCAGCAGTAGGCCACAGGAAGAGTCAAGAGGCTACATAATGCCCCAAGAGGCTCCAGGATTCTCCAGGAGGCCCCAGGAGGCCCCAGGAGGCCCCAGGAGGCAACAGGAAGCGCCAGGAGGCACTAGGAGGCCCAGAAGGCACCAGGAGGCCGCAAGAGTCCCCAGGAGCAGGAGGCCTCAGAAGGCCACAGGAGTGGCTCCAACACCATGTGTTTTTCGTGTGCTCCTATGGATTGTACATCCACTGGGGCACGAATCCTTGGTATTTTATGTCTGTTTCTATAGACGGTCCTTCTCCTGTGTATCTAATAGATTGGGCCTCCCTTGGGGCACGAGTCCTTGGAGTTTTACGTGTGGTCCTATAGATTGCTCTTATCCTGCGGCTCCAATCCGCAGTGTTTTATGTACGTCTATTCCTATACATTGGGCCTTTTCTGGGGCACGAATCCTCCCCAGGAGGCCTTAGGAGGCTCCAGGAGGCACCAAGAGGCCACACGATGCCCCAGGAGGCCTCAGGAGGCCACAGGAACCCCCAAGAGGCCACAGGAGGCCTCAAGAGGCTCCAGGAGGCGCCAGGACGCCCCAAAAGGCCCGTTTCAGGCTGCCCCAAGAGGTCCCAGGCTCATGCGCAGAGACGCGCTCGCACTATTGAGACTCATTCACACTCCAACTCATTCACAATTAGATTCACTCCCAGACCGTTCGTTCTCCAGCCCGTTCATCTTCGAAGTCTCATGCGCCTAGACGCTCAGGGCGGACAGGTCCATGCTAATAGATGCACATATGGGAAGCTCCACGCAGAGAATCAGTATTACTCCGACCGCGCCGAGGCGGCCCACTCACCTCTCTTCTCCTTTGCTTTGTCACCCAGAGTCACACTCAGATGTTCTGTTTTGCTATGACATGCTATGGTGTGTTATGCCATGTTGTGCTATGTTATGGCGTGGGATGTTATGTTATGTCGTGTGTGCTCTATTTATTACTATGTTAGGAAAGTGTATTATGGGTTGTCTGATGCAAGTCTATGTTCTGGTGTAAGCTGCTATGCTACGTTATGCTATGGTGACGATAGCGATGCTGATGATGCTGATGATGCTGATGGTAATGGTGGTGATGATGATGGCGACGACGGCGATGCTGATGATGCTGATGATGATGATGATGTCCATGATGATGATGATGAGGATGATGATGCCGATGAGGATGACGATGATGATGCTGATGATGATGCTGATGATGATGATGGTGATGATGAGGATGCTGATGCTGATGCTGATGACGATGATGATGATGATGATGATGATGATGATGATGATGATGATGATGATGATGATGATGGTGGTGGTGGTGGTGGTGGTGGTGGTGGTGGTGGTGATGATGATGATGATGATGATGATGATGATGATGATGATGATGATGATGATGATGATGATGATGATGGCGGAACAAGTTCTGAGGATGTCTCGAGCGAGACGCTGGTTTCAGCACCCCCAAGGGGGTGCTGCCAGGGGGTATTGCACTCCTCCGGTCGCGTAAGAATGGCGGGAACGTCTCGAGTTGTTTGCTTGTTTGTGGCCTCAACATCCTCCGCGTTCGGAGCAGATGTTGAGGATGTCTCGAGCGAGGCGCTGAGTTTCGCCCCCAAGGGGGGCCAGATTTTGACCAAGTCTCGATCGGTTTGCCTGTTTTGGTGGCCAGACTCGTGCGCACAGATCCTCCCCAGGATGCCACAGGAGGCTCCAGCAGGCCCCAGGAGGCCCCAGGAGGCAACTGGAGGTCCCAGGAGGCGTCAGGAGGCCACAGGAAGACTCAAGAGGCCACAGGATGCCCAAAGAGGTTCCAGGAGGCACCAGGAAGCTCCAGGAGGTCTCAGGAGGCTCCATGATGCTCCAATGGGCCACAGGAGGCCACATGAGACCACTGGAGGCCACAGGAAGCGCCACAAGGCACCAGGAGGCCCCGGAAGGCACCAGGAGGCCGCAAGAGGCCCCAGGCAGGAAGCCTCAGACGGCCACAGGAGTGGCTCCAATCCCACGTGTTTTACGTATGCTCCTATAGATTGCCCCCCCCTGGAGCACGAATCTTTTGGTGTTTTATGTACGTTTCTATAGATTGTCCTTTTCCTGTGCGTCCAATCCTACGTGTTTGACGTGTGCTCCTATAGACTGGGCCTCCACTGGGGCACGAGTCATAGGAGTTTTACGCGTGTTCCTATATATTTTCCTTCTCCTGTGGCTCCACTCCGCAGTGTTGTATGTACGCCTGTTCCTATAGATTGGGCCTCTCCTGGGGCACGACTGGTCCCCAGGAGGCCCCAGGAGACTCTCCAGGAGGCTCCAGGAGGCCCCAGGAGGCCACACGAGGCCCCAGGAGGCCTCAAGAGGCCACAGGAAGCCCCAAGAGGCCCGTTTCAAGAGGCCCCAGGAGGCCCCAGGCTCATGCGCAGAGACGCGCTCGCACTACTGAGACTCATTCACACTCCAACTCATTCACAGTTAGATTCACTCCCAGACCGTTCGTATTCCAGCCCGTTCATCTTCGAACTCCCTTGTGCCTTCATGCTCACGGCGGACAAGTCCATGATAATATATGCACATATGTGGAGCTTCGCGCAGTGAATAAGTATTACTCCGACCGCGCCGATTTCTTCAGAGCCTCCCTTTTCCTCCTCATCCTCCTCCTCCGCCTCATCTTCCTCACCTGCTGCAGGACAGCTGCTCAGGTAATGTTATTCCCCATATCCAAAGGATGGGGTTATTGTTATTACTCTGACCGCGCCGGACACCTCCCCTCCATTCCTCCTTCTCTGCGCTAGACGAGAGTGTGATGTGAGTATGATGGTGATGGTGAATGACGGACGAGTATGATGATGCTGATGATGATGATGACGACGACGACGACGATGATGATGATGATGATGATGATGATGATGATGATGATGATGATGATGATGATGATGATGATGATGATGATGATGATGATGATGATGATGATGATGATGATGATGATGATGATGATGATGATGATGATGATGATGATGATGATGATGATGATGATGAGGATGATGATGATGCTGATGATGATGATGATGATGATGATGATGATGGCGATGATGATGATGCTGCTGCTGCTGCTGCTGATGATGATGATGATGATGATGATGATGATGATGATGACGATGATGAGCAGATGATGAGGATGTCTCGAGTGGCTTGCTTATTTTAGCACTCCCAAGGGGGGGCGCCAGGGGGTATTGCACGGCCTCCGTTCGCGCCCAGATTGCGGGGATGTCTCAGGCGGTTTGCCTGTTTGCATGCTCAGCATCCTCCGTTTTCGGAGCAGATTTTGAGGATGTCTCGTGCGAGGCGCTGGTTGTCGCATTCCAAGATGCCCAGATTGCGAGGATGTCTCGAGCGGTTTGCGTGTTTTGGTGGCCAGACTCGTGTGCGCTCAGAGCAGATTCTGAGGGTTTTCGCACTCCTAAGGGGGGGGCGCCAGGGGTGTTGCACGGTCTCCGTTCGCGCCCAGACTGCGGGGATGCCTCGAGCGGTTTGAGTGTTTCCTGACCCAACATCCTCTACGTTAGGAGCAGACTTGGAGGATATCTCGTGCGAGGCGTTGGTTTTCGCACCCCAGGGGGCCCAGATTGCGAGGATGTCTCGAGCGGAGCCCCAGGAAACATCATAATGCCACAAGAGGCTCCCCCCGAGAAGCTCCAGGAAGCACCAGGAAGTTCCAGGAGGCCCCAGGAGGTCCCAGGAGGCCTCGGGAAGCCACAGGAAGCGCCAGGAGGCTCCAGAAGGCCCCAGGAGGCCCTCCGTAGCCATTTTGGCTCAAGCCAAGACGGGTCGCAATGCTGGTGACAGGGCGAGGTGTCTTAGTTTTGCGGGCGTTACTGTTTACGTATGTTTCAATGGAGTTAGTTTTCTGATCTCACATCTCACACATGTGTTGTTTATACAAGAGAAGTGTCAGAGCACAAATAATATAACATCATATCATTCTCACCATGTGTCACGACTGTTGCCGAGAAAAGTGTCCAACATCAGCACGGGTCCCGTGAATGTCGTAATGTTGTTGCAAGGTGTACGACCTGAGCGTGCAGCTCTCATGATGAAATCCACTTCCTGGTTTCGCAATGCTGCATTGTTGAAATGGTCTTCCACACTCGAGTCCGTTCGTGGACAAGTATTTCGATTGGGAAGATCAGGATCGTTTATTCTCTTCTCGTGCGCTTCTAGAATACGAACACTGTACCGCTACCACTGTTAGTCGCCGGCGCTCAAAGCGCTGTCCGCGAGGTATCTTGGTGCCGCTGGAGTGTTGACAATGCATTTTGATTTCTGGATATATCCAAACTATGTAGTAGACACTGCTGCGTTGAACAAGATTTGGCACCTTGGACCTGGATTAACTCGCGCTGATGATTGCTCTGGCGTGATCGACACGATGTACTTGGCGGAGTTTCATTCAGACCCCACTTGGTTTTGGTGGGAGAACTCAGTGGAAGCTGCGTTTCGTGCTTGGCAAGACATTGAGAACTTGTTGCCATTCGGATCAATCGGCAACATCAGCGCTATGCATGCGGCCAAGGTGTGCGCTGGATGGGCTGATTTATTTTACCTGCCAGTCAGCACGCTGACTCCCTTCTCGGATCTTTCATATGTGTTCAAGGATGTCGTTCACGAGGTTGCAGTCCCAACGATCCTTGAGATTCTTGTGCTGTCTGAACAGGCGAAGCGGAGAAAGCTTTGGTGTTGGGGCGGTTGTTGTGGGACCGCTGGAATTGCTGAGATGCACAATTATTCGTGCGGGCACAAGATGGATCTCCGCTTTCCTGTGGTGCAGGATGCATTTCTTGACATATATTGGCAGGGTAGTTCTGTCTTTTTCATTGAGCAATCTGTTTGGTCTCGGCCCATGCCGGCACAGCGTGCAGTTGTGAAACATCGCACGCTACTGCAAGGAAGTGTTGACGCTTCCAGCGTTTTCTACGTTGGGCTCTTGACAGGCTGGCAGCGCCAACAAAGAAAAGCTATGCGTTTAGTGAGAGCGCTGCGACAGGGTGGCGGCTTATCATTGTTGGCGTTCGAATGTTCAGAAAGGGAATTGGTCGGCGCCTCAGCATGTGTGCCGTTCGCGCCAAGGCGCAACAGGCTGCAATGCTGGCTTGCAGGTGACGTCCGCCTGCTGTCAGCATCGTGAATTTGATGCATGTCTTTACTTTCAAGAGCTGGTCGCTCCACCTTACGCGCACATCCTTGGGCAATGGACCAGACAAGTGCGCGCGAGGCGGATGTGTCTGTAGCGCGAGACCCCGCCAGTGCAGTTTATTTATGTTCACCGCGGAGGCGATCGGTTATTTCATTCCGCCTTGCGTGCACACCCGTGGGCACTCGCAGGCTGATGCGTCTCCGTCGGAAAACAAAACAATGTATGTTTAACAAAATCATCGTCGTGTAGGTAGTTGTTTTAGCGTTTCCCGGCCGGTCTCTGTGGAACATGGTTTGTTTAGCCTGGTTTGTTTTTTGTCGAAGGTTACTCGTTGTCTTCCCTGCTGTCTTCGCTCCCGCTCCCGTTCGCGTCGCAACATCGATAGATGGAGCGTGGGCTGAAAGTGGTTCTCGTGCGCAGAGCTAAGAACGGATGGCAAATGCTCTGACACTGGTCTGACACCAGTGCGAAACAGGCTTGGGGGTCTCCGGCCCGTCCGCATATAAACGGAAACTGCGAGCTGCGTGCATAGGATGAGGAGGAGGAGGAGGAGGAGGAGGAGGAGGAGGAGGAGGAGAAGGATAAGGAGAAGGAGATGGCGGAATAGCAGGAGGATGCGCAGGAGGGAAATGAGGTTGAGTAATGAGCAGGGGACGAGGACGAACAGCAGCAGCAGGAGTGGAAGTTGCGGGAGGAGCAGACAATGATGAAGAAGAACTCGGACCCAGAAGCGTGGCCCGCGCTTGGGCGAGCGCGCCATTCTGAACGACGGCAGCAACGCACCTGTCCGAAGATGAGGCCCACGCTTCAGCGGAAACACGATTTTGAAACTCTGCAAACAATCGGATGGCGAACAAACGCGTAAGACACATCATTTGTGGACACCCCGTTGGTAAACAAACCATGCGCGGAGGGGGCGGAATACCTCCCGCACGCAGGCAGGGGAAATATAGAGTCGTATTCAGGTTGTGCAGCTGTAAAACTGGAGGAGGAGGTGTGCTTTTGGAGATGAAGCTGTAAAAATTGTCAAAGTGAAAGCTGTGCACTTTTGGCCCCCACGCGGCCCTGGCAGCCAGGATGGCGGGGTGCCGCGTCTACTTGGCGAACGGCGTGGGCGGCCTTGCCGAGCCAGGGGGAGACCTGCGCGGCGCGTGCACCGGGGGCGGGCACGGCCTGCGGAACGCCTGCGCCGCGATGCAGGAGCGTGACCTGAGGCCGCCTCACACCAGGAGAGGAGCGCCAGGCGACCCGACCCCAGGCGTCCGGAGAGGGACGACGACGACGACGACATACAGGCGCTCGGCATCGCGAGTGCGTGGGGGCGGGCGCGTGCTCTCCGGCGGAACCTCATGTCTACGATTGGGATGAGGACAGGGAGGGTTATATGGAGGGTGGGTCCGTAGGAATACGCGGCCGACAACAAGGAGTTCGCAGACCAGGTCATCGCGGCGCAGGAACGCCTCAAGGAGGCTCCGAAGCGGGGGAAGGGTAGGTTGTGGGCGAGCGCCTCAAGGAGGCCGAGGGGGGTGAAGGGGGAGGGTGTGGGGAAAGGGTGGGTAGGGATTAGGCGAGGGGGATGGGAATGGGGGGAGGAGGAGGGATGCGGGAAAGGGGGAAGGGCATGAAGGGCAATGGAGGAGGGTGAAGGGGGCCAGCTGGGGTGTCACGGCTTCAACGGGCGGCGGGGATGCATGAGAGCAATGCTGTCCCGCGCGAAGCTCCAGGGGAACTCACCTTTACGAAGGGGTCCCCTTTTCTTTGGCTCTAGTGCTCTGGCCACAACGGCGTGTGACCACATGTCGTTCGCGATTTGCTTGGAAGATCTCTCATCCTCCCATTCTTCCTGCATATCAACCTCTCCCTCCTCACTCTGTGATTGAGGAGAGGTTAGCCACTGGAGGGTACGGCGTGAGAGTGCTTGGCTCAAACGGACCTTGCGCCGCCTCCCAGACTAGGCGCACCAGCGTTTGTACTTTTGCTCGTTTCTTCTCGTACATCCAGCTCGTTTCTTCTCTGATGGCCGGTCCTGTCCGATAGGGCCCGCCCCGTGGTTCCCAGTACCGGTCCGCGATTTCACCCTTGACCCGCTTGTGCAGACCGCTCCCCCTCTCCCTCCCCCTCTTCCCGTCATCCGTTCCAGCTCGCCCTCGTTCTTCTCCTCCCTCTTCATCCACGACTTGCCATCTGCTAAACACTGAAAGCTAGGCCGTCGTAAGTAGTAGTGAAAAGTAGCGAGCAATTGTAGACCATATGGGCGGACGCCAGATGGTAGGCACCCGTGCTTGTGATCTCAAGAGTACCGCTTGCTTCGACGTCATGCGTGGGCAGGGCTCAACGCGCAGCGCTCCCAGCCATTCTCTGACAGCCTCCCTTCCTCCCCGCCTGCCCCATACCCCCCTTCCCGTTCCTTCACTCCCCTTTTCTACCCATCCTTGCTGCCCCCTCCTGAGAGTGCGTGGAGGGAGGTGAAGATAACTCCTGAGACTTCGCGCAAGATCTCGCAGGCAGGCCTCCGCGAGAGGATGCAGGGTTGACTGCAGACAGTTGGTTTTGAGCACGTTCCACTCCTGGACTGCCTCCTCGGTTACTCGTGACTGCTCCACCCGTCCACTCCTGGATTTCTTTCTCGCGCCTGCTTCCCACCGCCCGAGCGACCACATCCCAGCTTTCGCTACGTTTATCCTGGTGTGGAGAGCGCCACCCTGTCTCCTGGTGTGGAGAGCGCCACTGTCACGATCCCTGTGCATGCCGCCCCCCCTCTCTCTCCCCTCCCCTCTGAGGTGCCACCCGCCCTCCCCCCCAGCCCCAAAGGGTTTCTGGAGTGCCGGCAGCAGCTCTCAGAAACTTCCGCTTTCGCGAAGGTGCCGTCCTGAGCCAGAGCATGTAGGGTTTGCCCCAAGGGGCTCAGAGTGGCCGGGACGCTTTCCGCGGTTTCCCGCCAACCTTTCGGGCTTTCGCTAGGCTTCCGAGTGTGCCTCCGCAGGGCATGCGGCATGCGGCGCATCGCGAGATACATCCATATTGTGTGCTGGCGCGATGGGGCTCCTGGACTCGTGTGAGTATTCTGAGCCTTACTACACCGACATGGGGGGCACATGTATTGCACAGCCCTCCAGGGGATTCTCCATGGCCCCAAGGGACCTCCCAGGAGCTTCAGAGGCTTCAATTGTAGCCTACAGGTCCCCACGAGAATAGTGCAGAGGATGTTGGAGGACGATGTGGCGCCGCCAAGCCGTGCCCGTCCTTCAGGTCCTCCTGTGACCCCTACAGAAACGCGTCCGCGGAGCCTCGAGTGAGCCTGCAACGGCGTCCAGGTGCTTTAGGGACCTCCAGGGAACCGGACCTCTTCCGCCGAGGTCCTGTTCGGCCAGTCCTGTTCCGCCCGGTCCTGTTCCGCCGAGGTCCTGTTCCGCCCAGTCCTCTTCCGCTCAGTCCTGTTCCGCCCAGTCCCGTTCCGCCCGGTCCTGTTCCGCCCGTTCCGTTCCGCCCGGTCCTGTTCTGCCGGTCCTGTTCTGCCGGTCCTTTTCCGCCCGGTCCTGTTCCGCAGTCGGGAGCTCTCAAGCGGGGGCGCTCTCGCCGCCCGACGCGGCGGAACCTGGCTTCGGCGGAAGCGGCCCTCGGCGGAACCAGTCCTCGGCGGAACCCGTTTTCGGTGGAACCGGTCCTCGGAGGAAGGTCTTCGGCGGAACCGGCCTTCGGCGGAACCCGTCATCGGTGGAACCAGTTTTAGGCTGTTAGGGTGTTCGGGTGTTCGGGTGTTAGGGTGTTACAGTATTAGTGTTTCATGGTGTTATTGTGTAGGAAAAAGTAGTAGTAGTAGTAGTAGTAGTAGTAGTAGTAGTAGTAGTAGTAGTAGTAGTAGTAGTAGTAGTAGTAGTAGTAGTAGTAGTAGTAGTAGTAGTAGTAGTAGTAGTAGTAGTAGTAGTAGTAGTAGTAGTAGTAGTAGTAGTAGTAGTAGTAGTAGTAGTAGTAGTAGTAGTAGTAGTAGTAGTAAGTAGTAGTAGTAGTAGTAGTAGTAGTAGTAGTAGTAGTAGTAGTAGTAGTAGTAGTAGTAGTAGTAGTAGTAGTAGTAGTAGTAGTAGTAGTAGTAGTAGTAGTAGTAGTAGTAGGTAGTAGTAGTAGTAGTAGTAGTAGTAGTAGTAGTAGTAGTAGTAGTAGTAGTAGTAGTAGTAGTAGTAGTAGTAGTAGTAGTAGTGTAGTAGTAGTAGTAGTAGTAGTAGTAGTAGTAGTAGTAGTAGTAGTAGTAGTAGTAGTAGTAGTAGTAGTAGTAGTAGTAGTAGTAGTAGTAGTAGTCCCCCCAAGGCTCTGGGGAGCCTGTGGGCGGGGGGGCTACTGCTGCCCTCAAACCGCGGGTGGCAGCCACCCTTCCTTTTCTCGTGCCCTTACCGTTACGCACACTCTTCCTTGCCCTGAAGGGAGGTCCCGGGATGGCGGCGGCCGCTGGCGGCGCTGCGGACGCAGGTGCAGGGGCTCGAGTGGCTGGGAGTAACGACGCGGCGGCCCGAGGTGAAGGCGGTGCGCTGGCAGCCGCAGCGGGCAGCGGAGGTGCCGGGGCCGCCCCGTGCGCCTCCGCTGCCGCATTCGCATCGGCCGATGCAAGCGTTCCAGAAGTCCCAATGGACGGCGGCACCGACGTCCACATGCGGGACAGTGAAGGTCAGCCGGCGCAGCGACGGCGCCGCATGACGGGAGGACGTATCACTCGCTGGTGCGTCAGCGCCCAGGCGACCCGCGGCAAGCAAGCCCATTGCACCCGCTGCGTGGGAGGCTTCGAGGCGGGCGAGTGGCGTGTGGCAGGCGTCGTGGCGCGCCCCGTGGGCTCCCAGGCGCACGCGGGCGAGAAGTGGTTCCACATGGCCTGCGTGGATGGCCCCTTGCCACCAGCGACGGCGATGGAGGGCTACACGCAGCTCCCCGAGGGCGACAGGGGACGCTTCACAGCTGCCCTGGAGGCCCGAGGCGGCCCCATCTTGCCCCTGCTGGAGACGGTCGAAGGCAGGTGCCCACTCCTCCCTCCCAGGGGGACGGCGTGGCCGGGGGTGCCGGGGTCGCCCCGAGGCTCCCTGCCGCCGCCGCGCCAGGGGCGTATGGCCCAGGCTCCCGTGGGGCTCCCCCGGTGGCAGCCGAGGCGGAGGCGCCGTCTCCCGCGGACATCCTACAGCCGCCCCTTGACGCCCCCGCGGCCGCGGACGACGACGGGGGGCTCGAAGCAGGCGTCTGCGATGACTACCTGGGCGACCAGGTGGCTGACGAAGATGCGTGCCATGAGATTCGGTTTGTCAACCTGGATTGGTGGGGCACCGTCGGGTGGGACCGCGTCCTGCTACAGGGCGCGCCCGCCACGGCCATGATCCCTGACAGCGTGGCCGCCGCGGTTAGCCACGTGAAGGTGCTGCTGTGCCCGGCGATCGAGCAGGCCCGCCAGGGCGGTGACGGCCTGGCGTCGCGCACGCTGACGCGTTTGTGTTCTTAGCTCTGGACGGGCTGCTCTTCAGCGAGAACGCGACCCCGACCCCGACGACGCGACGAGAACGCCTCCAGGAGCGTTCGCAGTGGATCCAGGGCGGCCAATGGGATGTCGCCTGGCTCTCCATGGAGGACCAGACGCGCACCTCGGTCACCGCGAAGGGCCGCGAAGACCACGTCGCGGCCCGCGTTCGCCGTGTCACTGAGCTCGCGCGAGCGGGCGAAATGTCTCGGGCGGCAGCGGCAGTGTGGCCCCAGGGTGATATGGCGGATGCGGCGGCGGTGGTTCGGAAGTTTAGCACCACCCAGCAGCCTGCGGCGCCTCGCCCAGGCGAATGGGGCCCTCCCCCTGGCACTGGGGCCGCCCCGCATGGGCCAGGGGGGGGCCCCCCCGCGGCGGGGGCCGACGTGGCGATGCCGCCAGCCGCGCCCCCTCACGAGCTCCTCGGCGCGGCGGAGGTGCACCGCCGCGTGGCCAACCACCTCAAGCGCCAGTTTGGTCGCTTCCCCCGCCGTGGCGGTGCGGGACCTGGAGGTGGGGGCTACGAGCACTGGGCTCCAGCACGACGAACACGGAGCAGAGGCGGTAGCCAACGCGCTGGCGCGCCTGGCCATCGGCGACCTTCCTCCCGAAGCTCTCGCCGCCCTGACCGCGGCGCGCCTCGCAGGCATCCCCAAGGCCACCCCTGGGGACGTGCGAGTCCTGGGCTGTGGGAATGTCACCCGCCGCATGGTGGGCCGCAGCGCGGCCGAGGTCCATCACGCGGACATGCGGGCGGCGGTGGGGGGCCAACAGTTCGGCCTGGCTAAGGGCGGCTGCGGTGCCCTCCACCGACGCCTCTGTACGATGGCCAATCCGAGCCCTGGCAATTGGGTGGTGGCGGTGGACCTCGGGGATGCGTTCAGCAACATCCCCCGTGACCTCGTTAAGGAGGCCGTGCGCTCCAAGGTGCCCGCCCTGGCGCCGCTGGCGGAGGCCTGGCTCCCTGCTCGCACACGCCACGTGGCGGGTGGTGGGTCCCAACCTGCCCGGCTGGTCGACCAGATCCGCGGCCTCGACCAGGGCTGCCCTATGAGCCCTGGCTTCTACGCGGTCGGCACTGCGGATGACCTCAGCATCGGTCGCATGGCCGTGCGCGCGGTGGACGTCGAGGGGGACTGCCTGGCGTTCTTGGACGACGCGTACTTCGTGGGCACCGCGGCTGCTGTGTCCCGCGGCTTGGATGCCTGGCGAGCCCGCGTCGAAGCCCATGGGATGAAGCTGAAGATGTCCAAGACCCAGATCTGGTCCCCGGACCCTCACGCTGTCCTGCCGCCGGAGTTCGCGGAGTACGCCCAGTACCGCGCCCCGAAGCTCAAGGCGGTGGGGTCTACTCTGGCCTACGCAAACCACGACGTGGATGCTGACTGGGGGGGCGTCCCGCTCACGGACTTTGCCGCCCCGGAGGACCTCGACGCGGGCGGCCTCGCGCCGGCTGGCGGCGCCAGGGCCGCCCCGGGTGCCGCCATGCCACTACCCTGCGGCGAGGCCTTCCTCCAGAAGCAGGACCGCTACTTCCGGGAACTCTTGACGCTCCGCGCGCGCGGGCTGTCTGCCTTTGACGCCTTCCAGTTGATGCGGATCTGGTCGAGGGGCGCCTGCGTCCACATCCAGCGCGCGCTTCCGCTCACGGCGGCGTGGGGCCGCCGGGTGGATGACGGAGTGGTCGCCTTCGTCAACGCCTTTCTGTGGGTCGCGGCCGCCCCCCGGGAGCAGATCTTCATGAAGGTCAGCGACGGAGGTTTGGGCTGCGGCGGCGCCGAGCAGCGCGGCCCCGCTGCCCTCCTGGCGTCCTGGGAAGCCGGGATCCACGCGGCTGCCCAGGAGCTCCGCGAGACGACAACGGTTGGCTTCTGGCGGCGGTGGCCGGGCCTTGGCCGCGCCCTCTCGGTGGCGGACGCGGAGCAGGGACGGTTGGCAGGAGGCCGTCGCCCCCGGGGTGACCGTTGGCAGGGCCTCTTGGAAGGGCGGAGGGGCAAGGGCCAGAAGACGTACACC